ATGCATTTGGGTCTCTTAAATGCTTATTCTTAAGTATTTTTATATTTTTCCCCATAAGTCTTTTTTTATTTCTATGTGTTGCAGGCGTGTGCTGCCTCAGTTTAGCTTAAAGTTTAGTTTAAAACAAAGGCAAGGAGAAAAACTTATCCGTGCCTTTGTTTTTAACTAAACTTTAAGCTAAACTGAGGCAGCACACGCCTGCAACACATCGAAACAAAAAAGACTTGTGGGACAAAACTATAAAAATATATCAATTTAAACATTTAAGAGACAAATGTACGTACAAGTAAAAGGGAAAACTGTATAAAATACTGTATGTATTTAAAAAAAACAGTCAAATTTGAATTGTGTTAAAATGTATAATTTTATTGGAACCAAGCTGGAAAAAATATCAAACAATTAAATGACAAAACATGAGGTGAAATTCTTTTTAATTGAATTGGTGCATTTTAAGTGTATTTATTTATTCAGTGGTTCATTTATATATTTCTGCTTTTATTTATAATTATGTCACTGTCAGTCCTCCATACTGCAGAACTTAGAAGGTAAATCAGTGACTGAATCAGGTGTGTTGGAGCCAGGAAAAACRTAAAACATGTAGGGCTGCGGCCCTCGAGGACCAAGATTGCCCACCCCTGCCTTATAGCCTTTCAGTCACTTCTCGGTGTAGTGTTTGGCATTTTATRCACCATATCTAATTTCTTCTGTGCCTCCTCATGCCTGCCCTCAGTTTGTCACTTCTGCAGCCATGTTAGCTGTTTTGTTTCGTTTCACAACAAACTTTAGCTCTTTTTTTTAGCTCCTCGTGTTGGTCGCCGCTCGTTGTGGCCGACGGTGTCTGCTTTGTTAGAGGCTGAAGATTTGAAAAAACAAAAGTTATGTAAAAAAATTTCAGCAGCTGAATGTATAGTTTTTGACAAAATGCAGTGCGAATACTGAGACTGCTGGAATCTGTTAAAGGAGCCGAAAGGAGCCGAAACTTTTAAAAAGAAGCAGAAAGCTAGCTAAAGGAACAAAGGTAAAATGCCATGTAAAAAGGTTAAGGGGAGCAGGGAGTTGAGACGTCAAATGAATCAATTTATTAAAGAAACAGAGCTGTCATGGCAGCATCACATACTAACGGGAGAAAAGCTTTCAGGGAAACAGACCAACCACGCTGTAGGAAAATCAATGAAGCCACAACTGGACAGACAGAACAGAAAGGGAAGCCARTTAACTGAAATGACAAACACCTGGGAGAAACGAGCAGAGGGCGGAGTTGGGGGAGGAGTCAAAAGGAGCAGGTAGAAACACTGAAGAACAAAAGATGAGATAGTAAAACACAACAACATGAATGCCAAAGAGCCACAAAATGTCCTACAACTGGTGGTTTGTGGGCCATTTCAAATTTATTGAAGGAGGACCATTTTGGATTGTGGGGGTGACAAAAAACTGTGAATTTTAACATTTAATATTATTTTTACACTTTAGACCAAAAATATATAATGTAAACAAGAAAAAAAACATAATTTATACCAAACATTATAAAAATCAAAGCACTGAACTATGCAGCCATATATTTTTATTTTGTTTTCTAACTCTTATTACCTATATTTCTTCTCAGCAACTTGTCCTAAAAGTATTCCAGAAAAAAAAAGATAAAGATCACAGAGAAAAATCATTTTGTAAGGTGGAAGTTGGATTTTTGAAGTTGTCAACAARCTTCCAACAAGATCATATTTCACTCCTTGTAGTGTTGACCACATATTTGCAAAGAAATTGACAGGAAAACTGCTAAAGCATGGCAAACATGTGGCCCCAGAGCCGCAGGTTGCAGACCTCTGACCTGGACCATGATGCACTGCAAAAATACTGACTTTGAGCATTAATAACTGTAAAGAGATCCATGTGAAGTACAGAGAAGTCTGTTTGATGCAGGGTTATTTATCACACAGAGTCGGTGAAACTCACCAGGACACTGTAAACACCTGTGTGTGTGTGTGTGTGTGTGTGTGTGTGTGTGTGTGTGTGTGNGTGTGTGTGTGTGTGTGTGTGTGTGTGTGTGTGTGTGTGTTGTTCTGCAGACAGGTGCCACAGTATATTCAGAAACAGAAGCCTGAGGAAATCAGAGGAGGCAAGCAGTCATCTCTCTTCTCCTTCTGTCACTCTTTCAATCTTTTTGTTTTTTTTTTCTTACAGTTTCTGTTTCTGCGAGTCCTCGTGTTTCCCTCTGTGACTCTGTCTCCTGCAGGCAGCGAGCTAATGATGGATCAATGTCAGTCCAATCTGCTGTAACAGAGACACCTCTCCAGCTCTGACTGTTCTTGTTCTGTTCCCAGCTTTTGTCTCCCCCCACACACACCTTCCCATCTCTCCCTCGCCCAGTCCATCTTCCTCTTTTCTCATCCTCTCCCCCCGCTGTCACCGCGGTCCTCTCCCTCGCTCCATCTTCCTCCCCTCTCATCTCCTTCCATTTCTCCCTGCCTCTCTGCCCGTTGGGGGGGGATGATTGCATTATAGGTCGGCTTGGCTCCGGACCCCTGCCAGCCGATTTCCACACTTCTCCCCGGTAACGACTGAAATCTGAGCTGCTCTTTTTCCATGCGCTTAAAGGCACCGACGGCATTTGGACTGGGAGGAAGCCTGCACCGCAGACACAGGAGACAAACACATGCGTTTAAAATCAATAAGAGGAGAAGTGCCTGGTTTTAGTTGTTGTTAGCTGAGCAATGGAGCGACAATTATTCTCTGTTAGGATGAGGTCACCAGTATTTAATAGTGCTTAAATTGAGATCCCACCAATAAAAGTCAAGGACGCACAAATACAGCGAGTGACGCAATTGTGTTCACAAGCTGTGCAATATTTCTGAACGTTACATTTTGCTTTGAGAGTAATCTGATTTTTCTAAGATGAGATCAGATTTGCTKGCACTGATCAGCTTCACCACCCAAAACAAACCGATAAAGATAGAAGCTCGGTGATTGTTTGTTTCTCCCCTGCCTCGTCACGTTTTCTCTGTTTGCAGGAAATCTGATTCTTCTTTACATGTCCATGTTTTTCAGATGATCCTTTTCTCAGCGTGCTGCATCTGTGGTCTGATCGCCGGGATCTTAAACTTCCAGTTTGTCCGGGCGCTGAACAAAAGGCCCAACTCGATGCGGTCCATCCACCTGGCCGCCATGACTCTGGCCTGTCTCGGTAAAAGCAAAGTTCAAACTGCATGAACAAAAACACAGCAGGGACCTGATTTAATGTCTGCAACAACACACACATGAGCTGTGACAATACAGGAATATTTCAGTCAGTTTTATTAGGAAAGCGACTTAAAGAGAAAGTTCATGTCTTTAGAAGTGAGGTTTAAATGAAAGGGTATGAACAAGTAATGTCTTACCTGTTGTAGATCTCTTTCTGAACAACCTCAATTTGAAGAAATCGAGTTTTGATGAGCTGATGCTTGTGCTAAGACCAAAGTGTGCAGAGTTAGACTGTTTCTCCAAGCTCAGGTCACTCACAGGTACGACGTTTTTTGATCATAAACTTGCCACAAGACCTCACTTCAATTTAAAGTGCCTGTGACATATTTTTGTAATAATTATTAATGTATTTTTGAAAAAGATAACACTGATGACAAATTGAGGAAAAAATTCACATTGCTGAGATGAGCAGTTGTTGAGATATTTGCATGTGAAGTAACAGGAAGTGATGTCAAAGGGGAATGTCTGCATGTGAAAAGAGCATTACTACAATGGCTGACAACACAGACTGTAGAGAAGAATCTGATGTTTCTTTAGATTATTTTGAGTCACTAACAGAGAGTTCAGATAATAGTGTTTCAACAAACAAAGACCACGGAGTTTCTTTTTCTAAAGAGTTCTCCTTTGACGTCACTTCCTGTTTCACTTTGACTAAGCCATGTTAAAAAGAAAATATGCCAGTTATGTAACAAAATAGGTAAAATCATTTCTAATATGTCAAGTTTCTTAAATATAAGGATGTTTTCTTTGACTTCTTGTATTAGAAGTATATGTATGTCACAGGCACTTTAAAGCTGTGAACCACGTTTTTTTTATTTGTTTCCTTCCACCTTAAACTTTGCTACTTAGAGTGTATTTTCCACATAAAGCAAACCAGTTTGAATGCTTAAACATTGCCTTTTTTTATTTTATATAAAAAAATCAACATTGTGCATCTGTCTTCAAAATGTGAATTTTCACAGTTATACCAGATTTTGAGTATATGTCCTCTACAACAAATCTACTAATTAATTTTCTGCTGAAAACAGCATTTCTATGGTGCCATCACATTACCTGCCACATCCATTTATTGTCTTATTAGAGAACTTTTACTTTTACGAGGTGAAGTGGAGGGGAAAAAATAGGCCAGAGCCTGCCGGATTTGTTCTCTGGGGATTCATGTTATATATATATA